AGGGGGGGCGGGGGCTATGGGAAATTTTGGGGTGGCTGTAGCCCACCCTGTAGACACCATTCCTGCACCACCCCTGCCACCTGCCCCACCCTGCCTGCTGTGAGTACAGCCCTGGCCCATCCCCCCCCACTAGGAAGAGGCCAGCGCAGCCCCTGAGCTCTGTGCACAAATCCAGGGGGCACATGCCCCCCATGCCTTCCCTGGGGGTGTGCACAGCACTGGGAGCTGCCCCCTTCATGACCCCTGAATGAGCCACTCATGGCTCTGCCCTGCACCCTGCCCTGCCCTGGCAGTGCCTGCCCTTACTGTAACCCCTCTCCCCTCTCTCACCATGGGGCCCCCCCACACACTTTCTGGCCACAGACTCACCAGCCGGATACTGCTCTCTAAGCTGCTGGGCTGCATTTCTGGTTGCATGCTTGCTGTCTACGTGTGGAGTTTATCAGTTAAATGTATCAGCTACAGCAGCCAAAAAAGCGGATTGCCTATATTGTCATTTTTCTTCTTTATCGGTGCCGATCCAAGATGGACCAAAGTATTGGTACACCTCTCATTCTTACAGGTTTCAGCTCCCTCTGATTCAGGTTGTTAATAAAGAGTAATGCTCCAGCCAAAGGAGTGGAGGAAGAATGGGAAAGCCCTTCTAGATTTCAGAGTATTGGAGAGCTGCTGCAGGGTGCTGTTTGGAGGAGGATTGCCCGGTTTCTGTAACACTAACAGCTGTTGCTAGGGTGATAGTCTTGTCATTCACCTAGCAGTTACTTCATTTTTGTTCTCTGATGTTGTCTTTTCTTGTCTTCCTGTGAGGGACCCCAGAGGGTTTTATACAGTGTAGTAGGATGGATGGCATTCGTACGATTTTCAGTAAATAAGAACCACGTAATGGTTGATCTTTGGTCATTCCTTTGGAAAGTAGATGGCTCTTCCTGTAAAGCAAAAGGCAGATTTGACTCTGGAATCACCTATTTGTTAAGTAATCTGGTTCAAGAAAATGTCATGCTTGATGCTGGGTATTAAAGGCTTTTTTCTAAATGTCTTCATGCACCTCTCTTCTTAAGGTGTTCTCTCTGCAGTCTTAGCGATTGATGCGCAGTAGAGAGTTTCTCAAGTTTTTTGGGATGAGGCATCTACAATGCTAAATCATTTAGACAGTAGCTCTAACTTTAGGAGTCACCTGTTACCAGCCATTGGCCTTCTGTATCTCTCCAAGGAAAGAATATGCTAACCAGAAGTGAGGAGATGCAAAGATTCTTTTGTGACACTTCTGACTGCAAGCAGGCTTAAGCAGCAGCTGTGACAGTCACTTTATACTGACACCAGGTAGCCTGTGCTCCAAATTTAATGCTCTATTTTGTGGGTACCAAAACATAAAATTCAAACCTAGATGAGTTCTGGAAGAGTTAATGGCTGCTAAGTTTAACTTGCTGGGGGGTTCCTTGGGTATTCTTTAGAAGGTAGCCTTTCTCTTTCGACTCCTGAGGTATATACCAGCAGATAAAACAGGGCTGGGAAGGATCTCAAGAAGACATCTTTCTGTCCATGTCTTCTGCATCCGTTTTACCATTTTCTGGGATTTGTGAGATTTGAGCAGAAGTCATAGTTTCGTAGTTTCTAGGGTCAGAAGGGACCTGAGCAGATCATCTAGTCCGACCCCCTGCCATGGCAGGAAGAGCACTGGGGTCAAATG